CTACGGTTCCCTTTTCGCTGAAGTCGGCTTTTCTTCTTCTGGACGTGCCTCCATTCCTTGGCAGGCCGTCGTCACTCCGACCGGTATCACTATCGGGACCTCTTCTCGTTGTGCCGCCGCAGGTTTCGCGTCCACTGGGTAGGCCACCGTCTCTTTTTGGGTAATCGGCATCAATTGATCTTCAGGCTCACTGACCGGTATCACTGCGACCTCGACTACAGGGACCTCTTCTTGTTGTTCCGCCTCAGGTTTCTTGTCCACTGGGGCCGGCTTTTCTTCTAATAGATGTGCCTCCAACTCTTGGCAGGCAATCGTCTTTAGGTCTCTTTCGGGTTTAAATGCGTACACCATCTCCATGAGGCTCGTGCCCATTATTTGTCGCATGGCTTCCGTTTTTGTTGGATAACTCTTGTTTCTGTTCGGGTGGCTTCCATCCTTTCTTGGATAGCCCTTGTTTCTTCTCTGGTGGCTTCCGTTTCTGCGACCAGCTCTTCTCGCATGGCGGCCATCTTTCCTCGCCAGGCTTTCCACCTGTCGTCAGCCCTTTTCTCGGCAGCTTCTCTCTGGGCCCTCAATTCCTTCCGCAGGAGTTCCAACAGTTGCTCTGTTTCCATTTTGTAGCAGTAAAATAGTCGAAACAGTCGTAAGTTTAATTCTTCGAGGCGTGTTTAAGCTCGTAAAAATTCTGACACCAAATTGTCACGTGTCTTGAGTTCGAAGCTCGTTGGTCACGTGTGTAAGTTCAAATCCCACTTCTGACACAAATTGTCGCGTATTGGGCGTATATCGCGACGAATAACTTCTCGATGTATTTGATGTAGCGAATTTTATTTCACATTCGCACTTACAATCACCCAAATTACAGATTTACGGTTACTGCTATCTGCAGTATCACAATTAGTACACTCCAAATGCCAGAATACAACTGACTAGTTGCTGGCTAACTCGGCGGTAGCTCCAGGACTCACTGACTGACTCAGTACAACTGACTGTGAATAGCCTTCGCTGCTCCCTATGTAGCCTCGATCGGACAATACGGCCACGTAATAGGCACCCTTGTTGCTAGCCACGCTGTCCGGAGTTGTTGACGGCTGCCTAGTAACCGCGATATCCCTTGGTGACGTCACCGCGTTGACTTGCGTTGCCTAGCGACCAGGATGCTAGGACTCGGCTAACATCGGCTAGCTTCGGCTTCGCTCGGCGCATCACGGCTGGCGGAGGGTGGGGGGGGGGCGTCATTCAGAGCTCAACATGTCACAATATATATGTGTGTGTTTCCCACATCATCCATATTTATGATAAGCTGGCTTTCAGGCAAGACTCCACATCACTTCCCTACAACGACTTTAATATTATCTTCCCTTTGCCCTTGCTTCCCAACAGTGAAGTCTGACTTCAGTTCATCATCCTCATGAGAGAGAAGCACACATTCAGTGAATTTAAGCGCAGTCTGAAAGCCAGTTTTGGAGATGTACATTTCTAAAGACTGCATCTGTAATGATTTGAGCCCAGAAAGGACGTGACACTGCAGAGGCCCACAACATCATGGGCTCAGCAGTGTGAAAGCAAAATTAGCATGTCACAGTCAATGTTGGTGACTATGGGGTTGTGTTCCCACAAAAATGCCTAAAATGGGAAACACAGAGATCAAACACTGAATGCAGTGGAGGAGCAGGAAAATTCTTAGCTCAGTAAAGTCACTTGAGAGTCAGGGAAAGTGCACTCATTTCAGAGCAGTGTCCGTTGTGGCCACAGATAGGGCACTCAAGTTCTTCAACACAATGAGACAGAATTGTGGATAATGAAACCGCTTACATGTCACCTGTGATTGAATTCATCTGACAGGCAAAATCTTAACAACAGTTGGGAGCACCCTACCTGCAAGAACTCTCCCATTTGCATCTTAATCTCCTTCTCTGTGGATGGAAGGTCAATCTGCTTCCGAACCTTCTTGATGCGCATGTCCAAGGCATTGATCTCATTCTGAAGCTGTTCCACTGTTGTCCTGCAAACAGATCAGCCCTCAGTCACAATATGCACACAACAGAAACAAACTGAAATCTTACACCCCACTGCTGCAACATAAAGCACAGGTTATCCAGCCTGAGGCTTGTCTGTGCACCTTTTAGGGGCATTTGTAACCCTGCAGAGTGTGTGTTAAGTGCACTCTGTCCATTTGTCTGGATGAGAAGTGCCGGTTTGATTTTCATAAAACTAGAGAATTTTATAACAAGAACTGTTGAGCACACAGTAGCATACTTGGTTGAGGCACTATGCTACCAGCTGGAAGGTCGTGGGTTCAAGTCCTGATGAGGTCATTGGATTTCTTTCAATTGACCTAATCCTTCCAGCTGCACTATGGCCCTGGGGTCAACTCAGCCTCTAACAGAAATGAATACCAGGAATATTCTTGGGGGCAAAGGGCAGCTGGCACATAAGGCTGACAACCTTGCCGCCATCTATGAGCCGACTGTCTAGATAATGTGGGAGCCTCAACATCTCACAACCCTATGGGCCTCCACGGCCTGTTACAGGGGTACCTTTACTTTACTTACTTACTGTTGAGCATTACTGTTTTAATTTAGATCAGAGAACAGCAATGGATACTTTACATGAAGACTTACACATGTTCCTGCCTGGATCTTCAACCTAACTCCGTAAACTTTTCCTGGACAGAAAAATGTTTTGAACAAAACTCAAACAGGAAACCGAATCACACACTTTATACCTAATACACTTCCTCCATAAGTCTTGCAGTAAAGAAATTAAATACTGTGTGTACATTTCTAAATATCTACAATCAACCGTCACCAGTCTCCTGATCACGCTTGAAACCTGGATTATCCATGCTTTTTTATTATTCCTGCCTCTCTTCCCCTTTATCAGATTTGATAACTGGAAGTATTTGGCACCTTTGCCTTACTTGACAGGTCGGAACCCATTCCTAACACCACAAGTCATTGCAGACTGAAATCAGTAAACATTTAGCTCCAGTCTGACTAAGCAGAAGCACAGTCTGATACTTACACTTTACCAAAGCAACTGCTACTGTGCAGGAGGAAGTGATCAGCTCCATCTGATGGATCGAACAGAATATGTTTTGTACTTTCACCTGAGGATGGAAGTTGAGCCAGCTTCTAAAATATTGTATTCCATTCATAAAAATGAGGCTGTGGATAACTTAAAAAATATTCCTCAATTTAATAAACTCATCTGAAGGCTGTTACAATCCTCATTATGCCACAAGATGCTCGGGAATCCATAAACTCAAAAGAAAAGGAATTCTAGTGCCAAACATTCATGACCAAATCTTATATAAACCAGCACTGATGACACTCACTTTGTGGCATCCTCCAGTGCTGACATGTCTTCAGGGAACCTCAGGAGGTCTTTACGCTTCTTCTCTGCTTGCTGTGGAACAGAAGAGAATCAAGTGGGCATCAGCTTACACAAGTCATCACCAGAATGCAGCACTGAAGTTAGTATTATGTCAAGTCAACTGTAACTAACCTAAGAGCTACACATATCAACTTAAAATTCATGCCATAAGTTGGACCACAAACAGCAAACTTACTAAACACTTTAGTACAATGGTTATTGAACATACCACTTTCTTTGACATTTAAAAATTCTGTATTTTGCCCATACAGTGTACTTATGTGTTTCACATGATTCTCACAGAAAACAGTGATTATTTCCCTAAACAGCATTAAATTCTATCAGCACTGCATCAAACTCCTGTGACAGAACATGTCCACAGTTCCAGCTGGCTGAGTGTCACATGTTCAATAAAATTAATATTAGAGACAAGTTCAAACTTGTCCCCTGGCACCTGTAGTAGAGTGCGATTTAAATTCACAATTTTTGGACAATACAGACTGGCTGGTGTTTGTATTGTGTACATAGTGTGTGTTCTGTGAGGGAGGTATCAAATATTTAATTATCACTTAGATGAGCTCCCTGCTTCAGATGGTTCCATGTGACATCTGCTGCAGCTGCCAACACTTACCAAGGCAACGTAGTGGATGAGGTTCATGCCAGGTTTGTTGGCCCGAATGTCCGTTAGCTTCTGAAGAGAACTCAGTTTCACACCTGCCGCATTGCCTGCATACCCTCCCTGCAACAAGATATGATGAATGCTGGGTAAAACATGCAGAACAAATTTAGCTGTTCCCATTCAAGCTGCAGCACAACAGAACACACGGGAATTCTGGTAACACGGCCAACGTCTGGCTCAGAAACGCTGCATGTTTCAGTTCCCAGTAGAGACAGGGACCTATCTTCTACCGTTCTCGGCTGCATACAGACTGGCTCTAGGGTCCACCCAACATCTCATTAAGTGGGTACCAGAGGGAGGAAAGCAGCCAGGGTGTGTCTATCTCCACATCTTCATATGTCTTTGTGGCAAGGAAACAATTTACCTGTAGTTCATCTCTACATGACACTTCCAGTATTCTGATATACAGTTGGTGGGAATCAATCTAGGAATCACACGTTACAGAGCTCTGTCTGTCAGGGTACATACCGAGTTGAGGAAGTTGCCGGCAACTAACACCATGTACAGGACTTCCTGAAGTGGTTTATTTGTCATCAGATCTGCAACAGGCATGACAGGGCTGTCTCAGTTTAAGAAATGAAGAATATCCATACATAAAAGTCACTCTGCAACCAGCCAAGTGCTGGGACCACAGATGAAGCCCTCAACTCAGAAACCGAGGATGGGACAATGCACCGCCTGATCAGGGCTATCACAAACGTCAGAGGGCAGTAATATGTGACTATGCAGCAATTGCAAAATTATGATTAGTAGGGGCACACTGAAGAAACTTGTAGAGAAACCTGCCCCAGAACCACTTCTCTGGGATTGAACCTGCTGACTGATGGCTTGGTTAGAAATGAAGGGCTTCTGGCCTCATCATTGGCTGAAATTATGCTCTACACAGTGGAATCAAAATGAGAGAACTACCAATATACCTGCAACACAACCATCTCTCATGTTCAGCACAATTCCTCTCCTTTCCCGTTGTCTGACAGCAGCGAATAAGCTGCTGGTACTCACCCTCTCCTGCCACAATCATGGAGTTAATGCTGGGCTCCAGGTAGCCCATGTTGGCAGCGAACTCTTCCTTCAATAGCATGCTCTCAATACGCAGCTTGTAGCTGGAACAAGTTACAACAATGTAGCCACACCGACAATCGAATGAAACTGTGGTTCAGGGGGCCAAATGCACAATGATAGACTCTTTGGGGGAGAAGGAGGGAGGGGGAGGAAATGGAGGGAGAGTATGAGGAGGGGGAGGGGGTGGAGAAGACAGAAATGGAGGAGAAGGGAGACAACAAAAGAGTAATTTGGTCTACACACTGATATTCTGTACACGTTTCCCTCCCCTCTGTCTGAATTATGTGCCCAACCTCCTAGATTTCATTACACTAAGAACATTAGGTAAACTACATAAACTACAAAATTTCGAAACATATGGGGGAGAATAATATTAAAGTGTACATTATGAATACTGCAGGCCTTGTGTTATTGTTACTGCGTCCATCCAGATATATGTAACTCAAACTCCCACTGCTTCTGGTGCTTGTGGATTGGACTCAGCTGTGGGGATGGCTGGACTGAAAACAAAATGTGACACCAGACCAACTGGACCAGTGTGCATTCAACACAACAACAGAGGTGAAGTAGGGACTCACTTTGGGACCTCTATGAGTTGCAGCAGGAACTTCTCAGCATTGCCAAGTTTCGCCTTGTCTCCATCAAAGGACCGCAGCATCTCCAGCTCGTCCACCTCTGGCAGGATCTTGAGCAAACCCCGCAGTTTCTCAGCCCCGATGTCATCATGCTCCCCATCCCGGATGAGTTGAATGATGTCCTCATTGGAGCTGCACAAAAAGATCTAACTATGAGCATAGAATGTAGCTTAGAACGTTCATCTGGTTATTCAGATGAAGCACGGCTGCATCTGTGAATGTCAAACGGTGGGTTCTTGGTGTGTTTGACAGTCAGCAGTTCATTTACTGACACTGTCAGACACGCAGACTATGGAGCACTCAGCAGATGAATGATGGTGGAAAATGGACTGGGAAAGATGTGGTCATGGCATGATTCAATTTTCTATCCTGAACTTGTCTGGAGGGACTGAAGAGAAAACCCAATCTGTTGGATGACTGAAACCTGGATGTCTTTACTACATGTTCATTATGACATCAGGTGACGTGATACTAAAGCTCCACATCTGTCCTATTTATGTTGTGTGATTCTGCCACAAGCAGCACTTACCTGCGGAACTGCTTCAGGAAGATGTTCACATTGAGACTCCTCTTTCCATCCAGCAGAGCAATCTGCAAGCAAGAAGATTATGATGCCCTTCAGTTGATGGTTGCAAGGACAAAGTGTACCTTCAATTACAAAGAGAGAGAAACAAGTGTTGGGAGCTCTAAAGATAACTGCCCTCTTTTCTGCAAACTCAGTGTTTCTATTTGTCTGAATGACTCCATTAGCTGGTGCCACAAGAGAGACAAATGTGCATCAAACTATACCACAGGCATCACTTGCGATAATGTGCTCAAATTACCCAGTAACCTGGCACTGTGCTCTGTCTGAAGCATGTTTGAGAGTACCTCAAATGTTCTGCTTCCTGTCATGTAACAAAAATAAAATTCACTAAATTTCTAATGATGATATAATGATCTATGGCACTATATGATCACCACACACCCTCAAAGAAGCTTTGGACATCAATACCAGATTAGAGAAAGGGATTCAAATCTGACCTTCGATAGAAAGTGAAAAGAAAGCAATGCAGATTTCTGACAGCCCTTGCTAGAGCCGATGTAGCTCAGTCAGTACAGTAACCATGCTACAAGCTGCACAGCAGGACAGCACAGGCAATAGGTTCTTCATTTCCATCAGCGTTCAGACTGACTATAACGTCCATCCAGTCTCCTATCCAACGTCTAGGAATGAAGATGACCACTCACCTCCACCTAGTGTCAAGTACCGAGTTGTTCATATCTCCCCTCCCTCATACAGTTTCCTGACAATTAACCTGACTTGTCTGGTGGGGTACCACCTGCTCGATTATCAGTAGAGTACAGGTATCAGAAAGGAAATGGTACTGAAACATGAATAAGAGAATGTTTCAAAAGATGCAAAATTCTGATATCTCAACAATAACACATGGATATGAACGCCAGAGAGAAGCAGGATGATACAGAAACATACTAAGGGACAGCCCTCTCACACGGCGGATTCAAGCTTGTTACAAGCCGATGCCAATCTCATCAAGGGATGGGCAGTTGCCACTGCATACACAAATCCCACTTTCTCCTACAGAGATGCCACTTCAGTGCAGAGACAATTTAAGTTTGGCTACTCAGAGCATGAAATAGTCAAAACATGAGTGGCTGATTCTCATTTATTCTCTTCCATTTCTGTTTCAAATGCAGTTTAGGCAAAAACATGGCTGGCCCAGCACATGAGATGCCAGTACAGGAGCCTGGCAATGAGTGTGTGCTGATGGACAGATTTTATAAATGTCACAGCAAATTTTACTACTGAGACACAATGCTACAAACTGGAAGGTCATAGGTTCGAATCTTGATGAGGTCATTGGATTTCTCAGTTTACCTAATCCTTCCAGCTGCACTATGGCCCTGGGGTCAACTCGGCCTCTAACAGAAATGAGTACCAGGAATCTTCCTGGGGGTAAAGGGCAGCCGGCGCATAAGGCTGCAAACCTTACCATATGTGAGCCGATTGTCTAGAAAATGTGGGAACCTCAACATCTCACAACCCTATGGGCCTTCATGGCCTGTTCCAGGGACAGGAAGCAGTACAGACCCCAGAAACTGAGCAAGAGCAGAGCAGAGCAGAAACTGAGCAGTGCACACCAGAAACTGAGCAAGAGGGTTGGAAAATTGAGAATTATACAGAAGACCTGATTTGGTAGTTCATGTTAAGAGAAAACGTTGAAATTGTTGGGAAATGCGATTAGAACTGACCAGACAAGGAGAGATAAGTATGCCAGAAAAGAGAGGAAAGAATGGGAAGGCACAGCCTCAGACAGAGAGTGACTGATGGGAGCTGACAGTGAAGAGATTCTAGAAAAAGGCAAATAACAGAGATGAAGGGGAAAGTGTCATAAAGCAGGCCAAGATTCTTAGATGCCCCTTAAGAAAAGGAATCAGAAATATTTGATGATAATCACAAAAAATCTGTCACTTTTTACTACAAATATTGATCAGGACATGTAAATTTGTGCCATCTGTAACTTCACCTCTGAGGACTCCTTGCGCCTGCGGTCGGGGTCCTGTGGGTCCCGCCCTAACCGCGGTGAGGACTGCAAGGATGGTGCCGGTGGCACCTGCTGACAGAAGAGACCCTCCATCTCAGCCCAGTCTAGATCAGCCATGGGCGAGTCCTGGTGACTGCGTGCAACCAGAGACCAGATGTTGTTCTTGCCTACCACCTTCATCAAAACACAAATATGCTCCAATTGTAAACATATTCATACTTGAAACAACCATTTTAATATCATCCTATCACTGGTGTGTATACCTACTGTTGGGTACTGTTCAATGGCATATTAAAGCAAACCACTGAAATTTCAACACTGCCCACCACTGGACATGATCCTGAGCCAGATGAACCCACCTACAAAACTGTGAAACTTTGCAGAGCGTAATTTTCTCGATTCTCATGTTACCTCCTCCCCCATACTTTCATCTCTCTCTCATCATAGTAAGAGACCAAGTTCAGCACCCAGAAGAATCCTTTCTAGGTATACAATCTTTTCGAGTAACTTTTCTCTACCTGAACTGTACAATTAACACGGTAACCAAAGTGGTTCATGTATAATACACAGAGAGGCCCAGAGAATGTATACACAATGTTCTGCTGCCATTTCCTTTGACTGTCCTGCTCTGGCGCTGCCTGCAGCACATTATATTTTGGTTCAACTTTGAAAATGTTTGTACAAAACCTCTGCTACAGGGTGCATACACTTCTGTGTGTGAACTGTGCTCATGTCTACAAACTTCAAGCTGGCACTCAAAGGAACTGCTCACCTTGTGATGGGGAATCTTGTTCCAGTTGATGGTCTTCATCTTTGTGCGAGGGGTGGGTGTCTCCTGCTGTGGCAGCAACTTACCCCCATTCTCAGAGGGCTCAGGACTGCAAGCTGGTGATATTGATGGGGGACTGAGTAGTGGGGGTGGCATGGGTGGGCCCCCCATTTTGTTTGTGGGGGCTCCAGCACTGCAAGCTCGTGAAGGCCCCAGTGGGGGCGGTAGTGGTGGAGGTGGGGGTCCGGGTACAAGAGGTGGTGGCGGTGGAGGTGGTGGTGGTGGAGGCGGCGCGTTCAGAGACTGCTTGCGTGAGTCAGAGCCTCGGTGACAGTGACAACAGAGTTTGGCTTGGAGACTAGGCGAACGAAGCAGGCGGCTGGCGTCCTGACGCGACTCGAGCAGTGTCGCCCGGTGCACCAGTGTCTCGGCAGCGTCCCACACAATGTCACTGACTGCCTCACGTGGGTCCACTCGCAACAGATGCTGCAGGATGCTGAGAAACGGGATCTCCTGTGGAGTGTCCGCAACCTGTAACGGGGACACTCGTCACTGTACGCCACTGGACCGGCTCCAACTGACCGTTTACGAACTATGAACAAGATATATCTAGGTTAGCGTCATGAGGCCACAGAGATCTCAGACTTGTTAAGCCGCAGCTTGTACCTGTCTGAGGATGGCGTAGAAGACGTCAAGGTGGGAGTTTAGGTCAACGCCGTTGGGTCCCTGAAGAATCTGCGCCTCGTCACTCTCCCGCTGCTCGTCGAACACGTCCAGTTGTACGCCGAGGTCGGGTTCCGAAGCGGCCACGCGCCTGCGCACAACAACAATACCTCGCCATTTTCTCTACCTATTACAGACCCTACCTCCTGATGAAGAACTGAGCAAATTAGCTAAGCAGGTAATGGTCTTCCTTTATCATATGGGATTCCTGGTATGTGCATCAAGAATCGAACTCGGGGCCTCCCACGTTCAGCTACGATCTGTTAATGATGGATTGCCAGCGGGCTAAGTTGCCAGAAACATGTTTAACTCTGCTGTCAGTTTACAGATTAGCGGCCAGTGACTTGGAAAACGTGTAGAAGGAAGTGCGTGTGGCCTAATTTCGCCTGGATGGACTCAGTAAACCACGATAAACCCCAGTCGGCGCCAAGATTTCAACCTCGCACTTCTCGAATACGAAGCACGATTGCCACCCACTCAGTAGTGGTGTTCGGTCACTGTCCAACAAAACGGATTTAGTTTTTGCCTGGTGACTTGTCAATTCCCCCCTCCCCCAACTGCGAGCACTGGTGCGTTATCGTGCTGGGTGAAACAAAAGTGCCTGAAAGAAGTCTGCAGAGGCAAAGCTCCGCGCATTCGTAACCATTTAAAGCACAGTACAAACTACAGTGCGTACAATCAAGTGCGCGCCGCGGCTGCAATTTGCCGTGAGTCATACCACCGCAGAACGGATGCAACTCCTCCCCGCGACTGCAGTGCTCCTACGCCGATGGTTGCATAATCGGAACCCGAGGTTGCATTAAACAGTCAGTCTTTGTCTTGCTGTGGAAGTGGAGTGGAATGTTTACAGCTGTCGACAGACGGTGGAAATGAAGTTCACTATTAAACAGCGTGTGTTTATTGTCGAAACTATTGCAAGGAAAAACATTTACAGAAAATTCGCACGTAGGTTTCGTCAGAAATATCCTGACTCGCCAGTTCCCACAAAGTCGTGTGTAAACAGGCTTCTGAAAAAGTGGCGGGCCACAGGTTCAGTGAGTGACAAGAAGAAACAATCGAAGAGAACTGTGCTGACTGAAGAAAAGGTTAAAATTATTCAGGCAACATTACAGATCAGTCCTCGAAAATCGTTAAGACGCTTAGCACAGGAAACTGGTGTTTCGCTAGGATCTGCTCGCACAGCCACAAAGTTAATCAAATTTCGCCCGTATAAAGTAACAGTTGTGCATGAGCTGAAAGAACCAGATCATGCAGCAAGAATTCGTTTTTGCAACTGGCTGCTGCAAAATGTACACGATGGAATAGTGGATCCTCAGCTTCTATTCATGACTGATGAAGCGTGGTTCCACGTTGGTGGCCACGTCAATGCACAAAACGTAAGAATATGGAGCAATGAAAATCCTCACGCTATACAGCAAGTGCCATTACATAGTGAAAAGGTGGGTGTGTGGTGTGCTGTAAGCCCGCGGCGAATCATTGGCCCCATATTTTTCCACGATACCGTGAACTCTGATCGGTACATTAATGACATACTGAATCCCTTCTTCGATCAGTTGAATGCCGAAGAAAGACAATACGGGTATTTTCAGCAGGACAACGCTACAGCACATACGGCTAATGCATCCATGGTCGCAATACAGGAAGTGTTTGAAGACAGAATTGTCAGTAGAGGACTGTGGCCTCCCAGATCCCCAGATCTCAGTATTTCTGATTATTATCTTTGGGGCAACCTGAAGCAAAAAGTCTACAAAAATAATCCCCGCAGCATTGATAGTCTTCAAAATGAAATTACACGCGTAATTCATTCAATTACCGTCGACGAACTGCAGAGAGTGTCGCGTAATTTATTTGTGAGATGCGCGGCATGTTTGCAAGCAGAAGGAGGTCACTTTCAGCACCTGTTATAAACCACGGTAAGTTATCTTTTTACTGTATTCTTATAAATGTGTGCATGTAGAGCAACTGATGGACGGAGACTCAGCGACACCACTACACTCACGCTATCGGGGAACGGCACTGCAGTCGCGGGGAGGAGTTGCATCCGTTCTGCGGTGGTATGACTCACGGCAAATTGCAGCCGCGGCGCGCACTTGATTGTACGCACTGTATATATACGACATACAGCATTCGGCTCGTCTTTGTACTGCCTTTGCGCTGTTTCCTGTGAGGTACGAACTGAATCTATATATTATTCGTATGAACTTCAAGGCATTCAGCAGTCAGTCAGACTTCAAGGCACTCACCGTCGTAACTCTTCGGGGCATACAAGAAACATCCAGGTCTACAAACACCGTCGTAACTCTTCGGGGCATACAAGAGACATCCAGGTCTACAAACAGCTAGAACTATCGTTGTGCTTACAGAGGGGTATGGGTGAGCAGGCACTAGGTTCAACTCCCGACAGCTTTAGCCCACCGGAACGAGCTCCTGGTATCCACCGGATAGGAGCCTGCACAGCACAGCACACCACACCACACGCTGTGGTGAAGACAATAATCTCAGCCCCTGTCGGGAAATCGGAACTCGATTCTTTGGTCATAAAGTCTGCAGCCTAGTCACTATACTGACTGACCTATCTGGCTCACACGAAAAGACATAAGTCGGCAGCCAACAGAAGAATGTGTCCAGCAAAACGTCTATTAGCATGCGACATAACTAACAATTAACTCTAATTAACCCGGATTAAATCCGACTGAAAACAAAGGTTAATTACTGCAAACTCTAGACTTGGGGCTCCATATTACTGCACATTACACAGACATCGAGACCTTAACGCAATGAAGTAACATATTCATGAAAGTAGGTTGAAGAAACTGGTCGTGGATTATACAAGCATCTTCACTGGACTCGGAAAATCCACAAGACATCACGTCACGGACGTGTGGCTCCATGCATTCTCAGACTCGGAACTAGGTAGAAATAAGTGGTCACATTCACGGCCCGGCCGCTTTGTTCCCAGTACCTACTGAACAGAAGGCTATGTGGGCCCCAGTTTCAGCCTGGACATAGTGACAGAGATAAATTCCTTGCCCCTGCCAGCAATCGAACCCAGGTCGTCCAGTCAGAAGCCTAGTCACTACACTTACAGAGCTATCCAGGCTATACCTTCCCAGTAAGGAACACAACTGCCAACCATTACAGGAGGAAACAGTTCTAGAGACTAGTCTAAATTTGAAACACAGTAATGAAACATGTTCTTTATGACTGTTATGCTTTTTCTCTTGTAAACGAAAAAGCGAAACAAAGCATATAACTGTTTATTCCCTTCGATGTATACAGAAAAGAGATAGGGTGTCCCAAAATATTCTCAACACCCTAAGGACACTGGGAAGGTGTGCAAATTCCATCTTCACTACCGCCACAGCCCGTCTTATTGCGTCACTTCGGTGCCTGATACAGTGACGTGAAATAGTGGAATATCCAACTGATTCTTCTCATGTCTTCTCGGCTGCTGTCTAAACACGTAAAAATTCGAATACACAAAACTATAATTTTGCCTGTGGTTCTGTATGGGTGTGAAACATAGTCTCTGACATTAAGGGAGGAACACAGACTGAGGGTGTTTGAGAACAGGGTGTTGAGGAGAATATTTGGACCGAAGAGGGATGAAGTGACAGGAGGTTCGAGAAAACTACATAATGAGGAGCTTCATAACTTGTACTCTTCTGCAAGCATAATTAGAATAATCAAGTCAAGGAGGATGAGATGGGCAGTGCATGCAGCATGAATGGAGGAGAAGAGAAATTCACAAATTACTTTGGTGGAAACGCCAGAAAGAAAGAGACCACTAGGAAGATCAAAACAATATTAAAAGGGATCTTAGATAGATATGATGGGGTAGTATGAATTGGACTGATCTGACTCAGGATAGGGGCTAGTGGAGGGCTCTCGTGAACACGGTAATGAACCTTTTCGTTTCATAAAATATTGGGAAATTCTTGAGTAGCTGCACAGCTGGCCTCAGCTCCATTCCGCCAACAATGTTAATGACTGCGGCTCGGTGCGTGCTGGGCAGGACTCCTGTATATTTTCTCTTTATGTAAGTGCAATGCGCACGTCTTGCCGCGTGGAGGTGGGTCAGGATACCTCCACCGTAGACCTACGAGTCGTAGAGGGCGACGAAAATGGAACCCGGTGCCTGGGGGTGCAACTGGGCCACCCTTCCACTGGGAGACATACGTAAATACAGGGACCTGGTCCTCCAGGTTGGGGGTTGGGCGCAAGGCCAACGGCCTTGCTCTGTAAAAAATTATTGTCACAAAATACAAAGAAGTGAAAACTGGATGCAATCCGGCACAATCCTCTAAGGAAGGCCGTGGCTCAAAAGGGGTTGTTTTGCTGCTACTGCTGCTGCTGCTGATGATGATGATGATATGTCGTAAGGAAGGGGCGGGAAATATGAATGTAGATGACAATTTTGGCTCCCTCAGAACGAAAAGTTGCAAAACTGCACGACTGTCCGCCGCATGTAACAACCACTGCGCAGATTTTAAGATTCGTTGATACATTTCGGTCAAATCGGACAATAATAAGGAACATTTACTGCGAAGATTTACAAGCATTTCTCCATCTTCTGGAGGGAAACCCGGCCGTGGACCGCTAAATATTTATCGAAGCAAAGAAGGTTCCGAACAAACGATACGTTTCCCACAAGTCTCCGGGTTTCTGAAATAATTAAAGTACTGGGACGCCAGAGCCACCGTTTTCACGCTAGTCAGAGGGCTGGCTGGGCAATGAGTTACACTGTTTACGGGCTCCCTTTCACAGCAAAAGCTCAAAGCAGACGCGGAATGTAAAAATAAGCACAAAGCACTTGATTGTGTGAATCACACCCTGCCACTACCCCGCTTCCTGCAGAAGGGTAGCTGTTTACATCCTGCTTGCCGCCAGTCACTCACACTGCAGCTGCAATCACTCTGTCCACGAGTGAATGACCCTACACGATTGGAATTGTTTCAGATGCAACAATATGTATCAAGCAATAGATACTGTCTGCGTTGATTTCATTTTTGCTTTCCTTCACATGGGCCAACTGAAGCACGAGAGATCTGCGTCCCTAGGTAAGCTGAAAGGTGAAGTTGCCCCTGTGCCATGAAGTCATATGGGTGAGTGGAGGTATAGCTCCAGTTCTTGAACTCGGCACTAGATGGAGGTGAGTGGTCAGCTTCACGGCCGCCGGTACCCATTTTATAGGGGGCTGGGTGGGTCTCAGAACCGGTCTGGACGCTGTGGAGAAGAGAAAAATCTCTTCCTCCTTCCGGGAATCGAACCCAGGCCGTCCAACCCGTAGCTATGCCAACTGGGTTATCACGATTCTATTTCGAGTCCCTAGGGCTACACTAATCGAGAACTTAAAACGAAAAACGAAATAAATTACTTACAACAGTTATAATACGTTCCGATCCCCTTGGCATAGTTTGACGTGTCTGATACGTCCGCCCAACTTCAGTTCCTGTGATATGTCGCTGGATAAACGCTGAAATACTTCACTTACCCGACAACAGATGTCGCTAACCGTTACTAATGACAGGTTTCTGAAATCTCTCATTTGTGCACAGAACGGGAGTGACTAAACGTCCAATATCGTGTTCTATCGAACTGCCTGACGACACGGCTCGGGAACAGGATCACCTCACAGAACAGACCCGAAAGATGTACAACTTTTACCGCCCCAATGCGAAGCTGGGGTTAAGCCAAACTCACTTCCTGTAAGGGTCAATTTCGACCAGAAGCCCGCGGGCCTTTGTTTGTCCACTCGACAGTCTAGAATGACAGGAACAAAACTATTGCGTTGGATCGTATAGTAGAACTACACGGTTCGAAACCAGGCCAGACTACTATCACTGGGTTTCTCTTCGTCCTGCGCAGACAATAGCTGGGATAACACGTTAAAACAGGCCACGACCAACATGATAAGTAAGGAGAACACACACCTGCACACAGCACACCGAACACACCACCCAGTCTGCCGGCCTCCACCCTCAACTCTAAAGCTGCTTCTTGTGATAATTCTGTCTCAACTGCTGGACCCGTCAGACAGACGGGACACACACTGAGCGGGGGCACCAACTCCACTGTGCAGCCTGTGTGTTCTGGGTTCAAACCTCGGCCTCAAAGGGCAATACGCAGTGAAGTTCAACTCCATATTCCTCAGTCCCTCTATGAATATGATGCGGCCGCCTCCTTCCAAACCCCTTTCCAATTCAGTATTCACCATCAATCCTCCTCCCATTTGACGCCGTATACACTGGGCTACTGACAGCACAGTTAAACTACAATTGCCAACATTCTAAGCAAAGCAGACAGTGTCAAACTAGCCATGCAATTTCTCGCCTTTTGTAGAACCCGACGGTCCAATCACAGTCCACAACTGGCCTCTATCATCTGCATATGAGCCCACACATCCGCCTCCCATTCTTATTTCTCTACGATTCTTTTTAATATTATCCTCCCACCGAAGCCTAGATCTCCCAAATAATGTCTAGCCCTCACGTTTTCATACCTACCCCATACATGCTACATGTCTTATCCATCTCCCCCTGCTATGCTTGATCACCCTAATGATTACTGGTGAAGAATACAGATTGATACTGATCAGGCTGGCGCAGCGGTGATGCTCTGACTTGTATTCTGGAGGTGCTCGGTTCGAATCTCGACCCGCGAGTTATCTTCGTGACTTGCTGTAAGTCCCTCACAACTGGCGACGACCACTTCCTTCCGAATCCTCTCAAATTCATCACTCGCCATCCTAAGGCGTGCAGTCTAGCTACTGGCAGCGTCGTTAAACAAACACGGGCTTAAGTACATAATCAGGCACAGCAAACTAACTTCCCTTCTTGAGAACCTAACGGGTGCTCAGCGAGTCAAGAAATTAAGAGCGTTCTGTGGAACCCGAAGGTTCGTTGCCGTGTCCACAAGAGCCCTCCACTGGTCTCTATCCTGAGCCAGATGAATCCAGTCCATGCCGCCCCATCCTATTTCTTTAAGATCCGTTTTACTATGTTTCTTCCATTTTAGTCTAGGACTTCCATGTGGTCGCTTTCCTTTCGCGTTTCTTAGCAAACTTTGCGTGCAAATTTACCCTACGTATGAGACAGTGTGCGGCCGGCCGCGGTGGCAAGGCCCCCTTCCAGAGTCCCGCATTCCAGGCGGCTTAGCCCGGCCAATGCGTTCTGTTTCTGGGAGACGCCAGTACAGCCCGTCCAAGGGGAGTGCACCACACGGAAGTACAGTTCTGTCGCCCATAACTGCAACACTGCCACAGAACGGACTGGGTGCAGAGTGCCACGCCCCTATGCACGGCGCTCAGACAGAAGGAACCCCTGCCCCATGCACCCGAGCCCAGGAAGGGGTGTGTTCTTGACAACGTGTAGGATGGATGTCTGCTGTAACAATAACGACAGACAGGCCCCATCGCCGGGGGCGCGGGGGCCGCTTCGTTTCGTAAACCTCTCTTTCCTTTTAAGAACATTATCCAGTGGGAATAACGCCATGTAGTCCGATGTAAGTTCACTTCTACCAGGCTATACGGCCTCACACCTCGTAAGGTAGTAGTACTCTTCACAGTCAACGCTGTGATAACCTGAAACCGACCTTTGTATGACTTCGTGCAATCACCACAATCGGCACAAATCTGTAGAAGCTTACAGACGTTTCGGATTAGCGTAATGCCTCCTTCTTCAAGGTCGAAGAGTAAGGTAAGCAAACAGCCAGCAAGAAGGGCGTAGCAAGCTCTTGCCTGTAGGGGTTGAGGAAAACCACGAAAAAGCTCAGTCAGTATAGTCGGTGCCTCGACCAAGATTCGAAGCGAGCACTTCCTAAATACGAAAGCGGACCGTCTCGGTCCATATCATTAACAAATTCATTATTCCTGTGACACTGACATCTCGCTGCATCTGCCCCGGAACAAACCCGGCTCACATAACCTCGCAGGTGCGTGACGTCACACTCACCTCAGCTCGTTGAGCAGGGGCAGCAGCTTCAGACCTGCAACACACAGACACAGTCCCGTCAATACTGACACAGTCCTGGGTTCGTGCCATGTGCACGACTCGTGTTTAAACCTGGCCACCGGGATGCGAGGGAGGGGGGGGGCACGCAGTAGCGTGCTACAAGCCGGAAGGCCGCAGGTTCGAATCCTGATGAGGTCATTGGATTTCTCAATTTACCTAATCCTTCCAGCCGCACTATGGCCCTGGGGTCGACTCAGCCTCTAACAGAAATCTTCCTGGGGGTAAAGGGCGGCGGGCGCGTAAGGCTGACAGCCTCACCGCCATCTGTGAGCCGACTGCCTAGAAAATGTGGAAGCCTTGACGTCTCACACCCCTATGGGCCTTCACGGCCTGTTATGGGGATAGCTTTACATTTTTATGGGGGTTGCGCGTGAGGACAAGTTCGGAAGGAAGCAGTGGGACAGTGGTTGCAGCTGCACTGCGGGAAGGATCGTCACGGATATAAGCCATACACTCCACCGACAGCGGCCAGGTCTGAACACAAGGGCGGTAGCTTAGTGGACTCCCCCGCTCTCACCTATGAACTCATTTCTGATTCGAATTCTGTCCTTCAGCTGCGGTGTCGAGATTATGATGCAGTTGATGAACGCCACTAGCGCCGTCTGATAATCGACGGCAGAGGCGCCGCGCAGCTCCGATACGATAACGTTGAGCCGGTAGCGTTCCCCCTTCAGTACCTGCAACCAACATGACAACTATTTACGGCACTGTTCCTTTGTATTCGGGGGCGGGGTTCGAATATGAGTCCAGAAGCCGACTAGGCTATCTTCATAATTTATTTCACCGTCTTCTAGTGCATACACTTATCTACCTCACTCCTCTCTCTCGCACTACATGTTTCGGCACAAAAGTGCCAGCTTCAGGTGCTTATTCGATTAACGTTAAACTAGTTCACTGCATGCCTTGTCGTCTTCATATTAAAATAATAATTAAAATATATATTTATCATATATATTGATAAATATCAAATATTAAAAATATTAGAATTGTTCAGGATTTTTCCTACGTCGTATCTCACTACTCGAGTCACATCT